TCTCTACTGCAGAAGCTAAATATGTGAAAGTTGCCTCACGTTGTGCCCAATTATTGTGGATCGAGCAACAACTAGAAGACGTTGGTGTATTTTCTAATTGTGTGCCACTATTGTGTGATAACACAAGTGCTCTTAATATGGAAAAGAACCCGGTTCAGCATAAGAGGACAAAGCACATTGATGTGCAACATTATTTCTTGAGGGACAATGTAGAAAACGGACTCATCTATCTGGAGTTTTGCAAAATAGAGGACAGGGTAGTAGATATCTTCACCAAAGTACTGAGCAGAGGGAATTTTGAATAAAATCGTATGGAGTTGGGGTTGATTAAGCTGAAATGAGAACATGGTCCCTCGATGATTGGCTATGAAAGAATGGTAAGGTAAATTGCTAAAAAAGTATTTTCTGGCAACTTCTAACTCAATTTTATACCTTTGCACGTAAACACGCATGGTAGCTACAGGACAAACAAGTGGATAATGGCATTGTAATTATTTGGAAGGATGATGCTCATATTTTCAAAATTTGTCAAGAAACCTGGTTCCCATGACTCATGTTAGTAGTTCCTATTACACTCATATGCATTTTGAATTGCTAGGGTACCACGTCATTAATTACCTCCGCTTCTTCCCATACCTCTTAAAACTAAATGACTCACCGGTTACGAACCGACTCGACTACCCATCCATTTTTCTCACACCTAATTGTAACTGGTCCCTTATTTCCCTCTAAATACCCCAAAAGTAAGTCTTTCTCCTCACTCCCTCTTCTGTGTGTCTTCTTACTCTCTAAGTTAAACATGACTTCTCCATAATTTAAGTCTCCCAAAGTCAATGAAGAAATCTCTATTGTGTCTCCGTCTTCTAAGTCACAGCCGTCTAGATCAGAGCCCTAACTGTCACCCAGTGAAGCCCCAATTTCAAACCAACCCACATCTATAGTTCCCTCCTCTACACCATCTGGTTCTGGTTCCCATTGCAACCGTAAGATCAAAAATCCAAAGAATTTGTGGCTTCTCCCTATCCTTCTGCTACAACAAAAAAAAGTCAAATCAGAAGGGCCTTCTTCTACTTCTTGCTTTCTTCAAACCACCTGAGAAATAGTGGAAGGTGATGAAGGAGTAGAAGTGTCAAGTCAGCGTGTTGAGGAAGGGATGGTGGATAAAATGTTGGTTATATATATAGTTGATGGTGTGCCTACATGTTGTATATTTGATACTCCAAGTGCTCAGGAGATTAATCTGAATATCTCGTCAACATCGGGTAATGTTCCATCATCTTCTATTGGTACTGCATTGTTGGGTGATGAGGGTGAAACAGATGGGGTGATGCTATTAAAACATACTCTACCTCCCCTTTAAGAGAGCATGTTGTTGTTGTGGAAAGTTTAGTTGGAGATTCTTTGGCTGGTGGTGTAGGTGTTGGGACTCAAAGGGAAGAACAAAAAACTTAGGACCAGGTGCCTCAAAGTGACCAAGCACCGGTCAGTACTATAGGGGAGCCTACAGAGGGACATGTCTCTGCTCAAGATGAGTTCTCTACTCCTACTTGGGATGAAACTCCTAGCTTTTCTAAACATCCCCTAGATAGTGCTGACACTACCTCCATCGCGCACCCTGTTACAGTCACTTTGGAAGTTGTGTACCCTGAGATGAAGTCTGTGTCTAAGGAAGAATCTAGTGATAGTGAGGAAGACCTAGATAATTTGTCTGTAGTCCAGTTTATTGTTGTTAGGAGTGGTGGGATGGCCACAAAAGTGTATGTTCTTAAACAACCCACCACTAGGCAGCAGAAAAAGGTTGCACTTGACAGTGCGTTGAAAGAGAATAAGGAGAAGAAGAAGGCTTGTTAAAAGTAGGCTTATTGATGAGGAGGATGAGCCTCCGGCGGATATTGTAGAGATTGATGATGAGGAAACAACACAGGAAACTGCTACTCTTGTAAGGAAAATGTCAAAGAAAGTAGTTTTTGTGAAACAAAAGAAGGCTCCATCTGAAAAGGATGATGAAGTTGGTAAAGAAGGAGAAGTTGAGAAGGAGAAAACTGTAGAGAAGAAGAAACCTCTCAAAAAGAGGCCAAATAGCAGTGAGGAACCTGGTTCCTCAAAGAGCACAAAAGTTGAACTATATGAGCTTGAGGAGAGCAAAGTTAAAGAAACATAAAGTTTTGTGGGGGAGATTGTTTGATTCTGAGATACTTGATCGCTCATGGATGTGGCAGATGGTGGAGATTATGAATTCCAGAAGTGGACTCATCTTTTTGACATCAAAAATCCAAAAGTGTATGAAGAGGAGGTCTACAGTTTCTATGCTGACATGTTTATAGTGGAGGGTGCCACAATTTGCTTGAAGATCAATGGGAAGGATTTTGTGATAGATGAGGTTCTTCTTGGTGAGATTCTTTGGATGCTTACAGAAGTGATGTCAACTGTAGAGGGAACCTATTCCCCAAAGTTTAAGAAGATAATCATCAAGCCTGAAGCTGTTCAAATGGGAGAATGAGTGCACAAGAAGGCACTTCTACCAGAATATCAACTGTTATTTGAGTTGGTGAACAAGGTCCTGCTACCTAGGGCTGAGAGGAGATCCATGGCCTCTATAGTAGACCTGGTTTTTTCCATCAATCTGCTTGGAATTATGATTGAGCATATGAAGAAAGTGGTAGATTTCAAGGATGGCAAACATGGATTGCCCTATGGGTTCCTCCTCACTAAAGTTTTTGAAAGATTTGAGTTCCCTTAGGTAAGAGCATCAGTGGGAACCCGCAAACAAATGTTCACCATGATCACCATGGAAAAATGTGAATGTATGGACAAAAAGAGAGGTATAGGAAGCAATTCCACAATCTCTCAGCTTATCGATTCTTAAAATTCTCCAAATGAGGAAGTCAGGCGGTTGAAGGCACAAAATGCTATTCTTGAGTCTAAGCTCAATCAGGCCAGCAAGGAACTCGGTTCCAACAATGCTCAGGGAGAAGAGATTTCCCCCGTGAAAGCTGAAAATACAGAGTTGAGAAACCAAGTGGAGAACCTGGAGGAGCTGCTGATCAACGATCAAAGAGCAGCTAATGCTCGCATGGATAACCTCCTCAAGGCCCTTGCTCCCTAGTCCTTTTGTTCCCTGTCCTACTCCTCTGTCAGTTTTTTCTTAAGTTTGTCTTGTCTTTTTGTTGTCCTTGCTCATTAACTGTGGCACTCTAGTTTTTGTTTCGATTGTATATGTGTGTAATTATGGTACTGCTACAATGTTCTCTTCTTTCCCTAATTAATGAGCATCGTCGTCTATTTAATGCATGTTATACTTTTGCGTTCTATTTTTAGCCATGTTGTATGCACACAAGTGACATGAGTTAACTTTGCTGGACTTCTTATTGCATTTACTTATCTAATTCTTTTGATGATGCCAAAAAGGGGAAGAAATTTGAAAGGGAGGAAACAGTTTCTCAGGTAATACGATTGATTCGTAAGGGGAATAGTATGAAATCTTGTTCTCGTATGAGAATATCAATTCCAAGTATTGCATCATAAAAAATGGGAAAATTGATAAGTTATGTGCTTTAGTTTTTGATAATTTGATAAACTTTATTAGAGAAGCAGATAGGGAACCTGATACAATTGGTTCCTCAACGTTCAGAGAAACGAGTCAAATGTCTGGTTTAATTCTCAATAAAATCAGATGAGGGAACCGATAGGGATCAGTTCCTCCGGTCACAGTACAAGTCAATTCTAACAGCTATTAATGTTGTTGCATTGTACATGCAACAGTACAACAATACTGATCAAGCATGCAGTGTCCCGGACACTCCCTTCCATCATCTTTGATGACCTCACACATATATTATCAACATGAGGCAAGAGATTTCAATACACACTTGCAAAATATAAACATTCAATTCTCTCAAGTGTGCAGCCGCCCTCATTCTCTCTGAGGCATTAAAGAACAAAGCAGCAATAGAACAAAGGACCAGATCCCAACATTGATTATGTCGTGTGTCTTTTAGTATTATTGTGTCTTTGTCTTAGTGATTATTAAATTGTAATTCTTATACAACTTTTCAGAAGCATTCATAGGACACCTTTTAAACCATTATCTTTGTGGTTGTTTTGACTAGAGTTTGTCAAGTGGTTAGCTTTGTAATAGAGTTATTACAAAGAGGCTTACAATATAGTTATTGTGAGTAGGTGATGAATTAAGAGGTTAATTCCTAGATTGCAATAGGTTATAATCTAAAGTTTGCTCAGTTAGTGCAGTTGAAATCCTACCAGTGTAGGTCGTGATTTTTAATTCCGTGAGTTGGGAATTTTCCATATATATATTGTTGTGTTCTTTACTTACTGCTGTGTACTGTGGGAACTGATAGAGAACCAGATTCTCTGTATAGTTTGGTGGATCCTTAGTTTACATCAGTTACTATCATTACATTATTCTTTATTAACAAAGGGTCAATAACTTTGGTTTAATCAGAATTGTATGTGGCTAAATCTTATAAATTCAATTGCTTAGCCTATTTGACAAATTTTAGGTTAAAAAAAATGTATTCAGTAATCGCCATTTGACAGTATCAAAGAGAATCTGAGTTAGAAATATCACAAACATCCGTGCTTATCAACCTATGCTTTTTTACACATTAATTTTAGCAGCTGGGCAATTCTGCTAGAGAATGAGGAAGGCTCTCTTGGTGGCCTTTTCCATTGTTCCAATAACATTGGTTATCTCGAAATGACAGTGCGAAACTTTTAAGTAATATGTAGAGTCCTTAACCAACTCAATCATGAACCTTTTTAAATATTATTACCAAATAATTATATTATTTAATGCACAAAAATGAAAACTAGTTAGTCTGCAGTGGCGGAGCCAGCTTTGTTCAAGTACTAATCAATTGACATCGCTTCGCTCTTCGAAAAAATAAAGTTATGTATATAAATTATATATGTTAAATACCCTTAACTCACTACAAGAAAACGGACCATTTGCGGAGGTTTTATTGAGGAGGTTCTTACTATCTCCTCAAATTGTATCAATTTGGGGGGTTGTCATTAAGTGACTCAAATAAATCTCGGCTGCCCTAAAAATAAAAAAAGGGCGCCTTTATTTCCCCCCACATTTTCCCCTTTCCCTCATATTCCCCAACCCTTCACGCCCTTAACCCCTTTCTCCAGAAACCTCCGCCTTTAACACCCTTCTAGCAGTCCCCTCCCCCTACTTTTAGTATTTATCCAGTTTTGTAAATCGGATCTGGTAAATCGGTAAGCTTCAACTGATTTCATTTTCACGTTTTGATTTTTTATTTGGCAAGAGATTTTAAGTTCCCAGTTTGGGTTTATAAAATATTTAGGCATTTATGCAGAGGGTTTTGGTGGCTTTGGAGTGAAGTGAATCAACTCCTAGCCATTGAATCTTCTGTTGTGTCTGAATCAGACGGTTAAAAAGTTATTTGAATCTTTTAAACGCCGCGAGGTGTGTTTTATTTTTGTTCTGGTTGGCGAAAAAAGGGAGACACAGAGGTGCAATCTTTAGATCTGGCCTTCCGGTGAGGTTTCCCGCTCTTTTATTCATGTTTTGGAATTTATTTATTTATGTTTTACATAATTACTTGTTTATTTTGTTCCTGATTGGTCCTTCAATGTTCGTTCTGGATCATCCGAGTTTTATTCAGATTTTTTTTAGGATTTTAATTTGATAAGAAAGAGTGTTATTTGAGTTTCAGTTTCAAATGTTTGTAGCTTCACATTTGAGTTTTTGTTGTATATGAATGTTTTTCTTAAAGGATTCAAGTTTACCAGTTTAAGATTCTATTTTCAAAGCTGTTTTTATGTTATTGAATGAAAATGGGAGTTTTAGAGATTACTGCTAAGTAATTTTCAAGATCTTTTTAATTGCTCCAGTAACACTTTTCTTTATCAGTAAAAAGTATCTTATTGTGCCTTGCCTCCTGCCCTTTCCTCGTTCCCAATCCATCCAGTGCCATGAAATGGTCCTCCAACACGCATGCCATTACTTGTGCATATTCATTATCCAGCATTCTTCCCATTATTCCATAAAAGTGTTCCATGCTATGTGTGTTCCCCAATGTATATAATATTCTTTGAATACATACCTGCCTTTTCCTTTGCATGAGTTGAACGAGCAGTTTTATTACATAGTACTGCTCTTTTGCCTATCAATGGCTCTTCTCCAAGGGAATGAGCACTGGGTGCTAATACCAACCATTGAAGTTGAGTCTTTAGACAAGTGTTATTTGAGTAATAAGTTTATGGTTTAATTACAGTTAAAGCTTTACAATAAACACTAATTGATAATATGATAAAAATAGTATCCTAACCTGCTATAGTAGATTATATTACAACCTCTCTACCTCGATAGGTAGGGGTAAGGTTTGTGTGCACTAGATCATATTTGATTCACCAATTTTTTATATTTTTATGAATATGCAGTCATGCCAAAAGTTAAACGTTTCAAAAATCCATTAAAATCAGCTCATGGACCATATGATGCTCCTCGGCGTTCTTCACCATCAACAACTCCAGTCCCGTCACTTGTTATAGAGCCCTCAATATCGTTACAAGCTCCCTCGCATGCTCCTGCAAGTTCCTCAGTAGCTGATGAAGTCCCACAACAAGAACAAGCTCCAATTCAGCCTTCAAATCTGAGTGCAATGTCCACACACCATCATGGACGTGAATATACACAATATTGGAAAGTAGAGGCAATAGGTATATGCCTTATATGTATGTTTATTTCACTTTATAAATTTATGATGTTTTTCCTTTTGGTTGACTAACTTGTTTTTTATTAAAGACTCAAACAACACTACCAAGTACATTAAGATCAAGGTCAATGAGGGTCAACAGCCTACCTATCGGAGACCGCATCATTGTGGACTTTGATATCTACGATGCAGCATATGGGGAAGTGCAAGGGTTGCTCGCCGGATATTGTGGATTACTGGCTATTGATGGCAATTTCTTCCCAATTAATTTTGATAGGTGGTCAGAACCGTGAGGTATTCCTAAAATTTACAAGGAAGACTGCTTTGAAATCATGCTAAAGGTATTATACATATGTCTATTTATTGTAACTAGATTTTTATATATGCATAGAAAACTAACTTTGTTTTTCTTTTTCATTTGAAGTCCCTGTTCTTTTTTAGGACTACTAATGCCATTGCATACAGATATTGCAGTGCTAGTTTGAATAAGAAGTGGGCTACACATAGACATAGGTTGTGGGATGAATTTTATAACCCGGCCAAAAGCAGAATTGAACTTTTAAGCAATGTGCCACCGGGTATAAATAGAGATTAGTGGGCTTGTTGCAACAAGAGGTCACTCATTTGAAGTCCCAATTAGTAGACACCTTAACTGCACTGAAAGCTTACATGATATCAAAGGAAGGAAGAGTTCCTGAGCAATTTGTTAGTATATTTTCTCCTCAACCACAGATAACTGAATTGTCACGAGGAGATAGTCCTCATCTTGATCATAGCTAGAAAGCTTTAAGGAAGCATTCGAAATTTAAATATGGTATAATGGTAAGATTTTTCATCTAAATATTCTTTTTATTGTTTCAAGCCTAGTGATGATGCAGAGAGTGAACTTATCTCACTGGTTGATGTAAGAGGATCATGGGGCAGCAGTTATCAGAATCACCAAGCAAATACTTAGAATGTTATTTATTTAATGTGGAACCAATGTTACTTTTATGGATTTTTAGTAGTAACGTGTAGGAGCTACTTTAGTTTATATTGCTTTAGTATGATTTGTAGTACTTGAATTTGTGAATGTTGCTATTGTGGATGTTTAATGAAATTTGATTTCTATTATATAATGAGTATTATTTAGTATATAATTTTATTTTGTTTATGCATATGCCGATACAAGCTTGATCTTATTTAATCGTGCAATATTTAATGAGAAGAAAGCGCATTTCAATATTCAACTCGTGATGGTAATTAATCCCCCACAAATTAAAAATTATGAAAGAGATTATATTGTGGAGATTATAGACCCCAACTAATTATTTTTTTTTAACATATAGCTCATATTGTAATGGTTATACACTGTGACTAATTATTTTTCAAAAATCACAGATCACAGTCACAAAGCACCACAAATTATTATTTTTTAGCATTGAAATTATATAAGGGAGGTTATAAGCCGCCCTTAGTTGACTTTAAAACCCCCATTAATCATAAACTTAATTTGCGGTGGTTGTTGTGGGATTATTTAAAACTGCCACAAAAAGCCTTTGGCGATGATAACCTCCACAAATTACACATTTTCTTGTAGTGACTTGTGATTTGTGTGCCACACTTTAGCGTGAATTTTCAGATTATTTCGTTTGAATTGATTCAATTTTAGCTCTCCCAACAGGAATGGGTTCATGGCGTATTCCTCCCCATTACTAAGATGACTGTTGCAATGCAACTGGCCTATTATTTTTATTTTTTTTAATCTGCTATATATTTCTCACGAGTTACACGTACCAAATAATTTTGCCTACTTAAATTTCGGTAGATAAAAACAAAATCGCCTAGTTTTTTTTGTCATTCATTCTTTTCTTTTCTTCTAGAGAGGAGGTTGTGAGGAAGTTGAAAAGAAACTTTATTCTCATGTTTGCTAAGCTTCTAAAATCAGCTTATTTTGAGAATGTGTTTTTCAAAAAAATACTTTTGGTGAGAAACAATTTGTTTTTGATTAACTAAGTTAAAAAACACTTTTCAGTACATTAGTATTTGACCAAACTTTTAAAAAAATATTTTTAAGTATATTTTTGTCAAAAAAGATTTTCAAAAAAATAATTTTAGAGAGAAGGTATTTTTTCTATTTCTGAAAAACTACTTACTTTTTTCCTTCTAAAAATTTGGCCAAACACCTCAACTTTGAAAGACAATTTGTGCATTTGGCGAATTGTCAGCTTCACATACTTCTCATGTATGCTACGGGAGCAATGACCTACATGTAAACTACAAACTGAACGAGAGATCACATTGGCTAATAGAAAGTCATACCGCACACACCAAATTTATAGTACGTTTTAGGTGCAATTAAAGCTAAAGATTGTATATTACATCTCAGGAGGAAAACGTAATTCCATTACATATATGACGAGTACTTTTAGAATACCACTAGATAAGGCAGTCAGTTACTCTTGATTTGATTAATAGAGCAGCTCATGTTGGACTCTTATACAATGAGCACTTCTTTCTTTGATTTTTTGTTCTTCCACGGTATGACCTGCTTGAAACCCTCGTATATGGAAGCCTGTAAATTTTGGACATTAATGAATTTTAAAAGAACCAAAACGAAGAAAAAGGGAACTGAACAATTACAGATTAAGAATATGTTCTTTAACTGAACTTTGACAAGGTTTATAGAGGACTGAAGTTCTCTAAATGCGAATGGAACAATAGCCGGGGCATAATGATCAAAGCTAATGATAGCACACAAATGATTTACTGAAGTAGTAAGGGCAGTCCGGTGCACAAAGTATCCCGAGATAACATATTCAAACGGGCATTCCCGTGTGATATATTGACAGCCTACCCTAATGCATGCATTAGTGGCTATTTCCACTGCTCGAACTCGTGACCTATAGATCACATGGAAATAACTTTACTATTGCTCCAAGTTACAATTCAAAAAATAGTGTTGTGCTGAATGTTTGATAGCAGAATAAGAAAATGCAAATTAGATCCAAGATTAATATGACTACGGTTATTTTATTCTGTATAGAAACACCAAAATAATAAGATAAGTAAGAGGGAGAAATGTTCATGCGTAGGCGTTTGGACATGAATTCCAAAAAAAAAATTCAAATTTGGAATTTCACTAAAATTTGAATTGAAGATGAAGTTGTGTTTGGTTATAGTTTTTGCAATATATTTGGATGTCTTTGTTTCAACATATTTTGCAACTAAACACTAGCAACCTTCCCATTTTCAATTGAAAATTTCAAATTTGAAAATGCATTTTCAAGTGAGATTGGAAAAATTATACTCCTTCTGTTCCAGTTTATGTGAATCTATTTCATTTTTGGTGCATTTCAAAAAGAATGACCTCGTTCTAAATTTAGAAATAATATAGTTTAAACTTTCAATTCTACCCTTAATGAGAAACTTTTATAACCACACAAATATTCTGGACCCTTTTTTGACTTGTTTAGGACCACAAATTCAAAAAGTCTTATTTTCTCTTAAATTTCGTATCCAGTCAAACAGGTTCACATAAATTGAAACTGAGGGAGTAAGATTTTGTTAACCAAATATTGTTTAAAAAAAAATCTTATATCCAAACGGGATCTTAATTGCCAAAAGAGAAGTAGTCGTGCAATAACCACACTGTCGTCTTCAACTACAACAAACCCAATTATTAAGCTTTTTTGTCTTGCACCTTGAAGTACACATCATGCTTTTACACTAATCATATCTAGTTACATACTTCACTTTCTAATTATGAGCCTATTTGTTACTCATTAATTTCTCAGTGTTTAAAGTGAGAGCAATCCACAAATAGAACAGAAATCTACATATAAAGCGAAACATTTTCTGAACTTCTCTCCGGAGGCGGATCTAAAATTTTTAAATAATGGGTGCATCGCTAAAATAAAAAAAAAAACATAATGGTGTGTTTGGTATGAACTTTTATATTTGGTGGCTTAAATATTTTCCTTACGAATTCATTTTACTCCAATTGAAGAAAAATGACTTCCTTACCAAGCGAAGGGAAATTATTTTCCAAAACTCTCTTTCTAACCTTCCCACCCCCACCTTCACTCCCCAATCCATCCCAACCCCCGACCTCGACCCCAGGCCCAAACCCCCACCGTGTTGCTCTTCCTTAAATTTAGGGGTGGGCGTCGGTCGGTTCGGTTCGGTTTTCATGAAGTTCGATTCGTTTTGTTCGGTTTTCGATTTTCTATTTGGTGCATCAATAACCGAACCAAAATTAGTTCGATTACTTCGGTTTTTACTAATTCGGTTCGGTCGATTTTCGGTTCAATTCAGTCGGTTTGGTCTTGTCACATTGAGCTTTTAAATCGGACTTTTTCTACTAAAAAATATGACTAATTTCATTTTTTAGAGCAACTAAAACTCGAAAACGCGATACTTATAATATACTACCTCCGTTCCAGTTTATGTGAACCTATTTCCTTTTTGGTATGTTCCAAAAAGAATGACCCCTTTCTAAATTTGGAAACAATTTTGCTTAAACTTATAATTCTACACTTAATGAGAAGCTTTTATAACCACACAAATACTCTAGACCCCTTTTTGAATTGTTTAGGACCACAAATTTCAAAAGTCTTCATTTTTTCTTAAACTCCGTGCTCAGTCAAACGGGTTTACATAAATTGAAACGGAGGGAGTAATTAGCCAAATCATTTAGTTGATATAGAAAATATAAATTTATTTGATAAATATTACTTACAATATAACTATCTCATATATCCCCGTGCAAATTCAGCAAGCCTCAAATAAAACAAAATTTATTTGTCAATCTCCTTTTATGCCGTAGTTCACAACGACAAAACCAAACCCCTTGAACACTTCAGCATCCGAAATCCCAAATCATACCAATTTCCCAAGCCATAATCCAAATTAACTCTGGAAAGTTCAATAAAATTTGTCTAACGATGATCACTTATTTTTAATGGAGTGTTAAAAAAGAAAATACTTAGCTCATCTCGTGTTGCCATGCATCTAGTTTGAAACCTTAAAAAAGACATCACCAAATATAAAATTTTAGCAGGTATGCGCAAGCAAACAAAGATGAAAGATGCATTGGCAAATAAAAAGGGATAATTTTTAGAATGTGGCACTTTATTTGAGTTTGGGCTTCAAATTTTATAAGTAAATATATATAAAAAGTTGGGCTAGACAACTTAAGAGGAGCCCAAAGGTTAGGACCCATATTAAAAAAATTTAATTTTTCGGTTTAACCGAAAACCGATGTTGCGAAACCGAGCACGGAACCGAACACCGAAATTATAGAAAACATAAACCTCAAACCCAACGAATAAGCCGAAAAACCAAAACCGAATGAACCGAAGTTTACGGTTCGGTCGATGTTTTTGGTTCGGTCGGTATTAAGCCCACCCCTACTTAAATTCACTACCCAATCAAATAGGTTTACATAAATTGAAACTAAGAAAGTAGAACTTTAAAGCATAACTGTTATCAATCCATTTTATGGGGTAATATCCTTTCATATTTCAAAATAATATAACTTTTAACTTTTAATTTATCCTCATAAAATACTTTTACAGTCGTAGAAATCTCATGGCAAATTTAGGATTATAAGTTTTAAATTATTTTTTTTATTCTTAAACTCCATATTCAATCAACTTGGCTACATATAATGATTACTCATTCGTTTCAATTTAGATGAGGTACTTAAATTTTAAAAATAATATATTTCTATATTTTTAAATAATTTAATTTTAAACTTCTCATTTACGCATTTTACTCTTAATAAAAATTTTTTGTAGCCGCATAAATAACATGGCCCACAAAGTTTTTATTCCTTAAGTTTTTAGCACCATAATTTTTTTTTTCTTTCTTACACTTTGTAAGAATCAAATTATCTCATGAAATTGAAACAGAGAGGGTATTTATTAAAAAATTTAGCTCTAACTCTTCAATACTTACTGCTTGTCAGTAATTTTCAATCAGCTAAACAAAACGAATTCTAAACATTGGAGTTGTAAAAACTTACCCAGATGTGAGGCCTAGACTGAGTGAGGCTAGAGAAGGTTCCATTTCTTCTAAGTCTATCCATTTTCACAGTACTGAAATGACGTCCACATTCATCACTGCCACTCCCACAATCTGTTGAATCCACACTTGTTTCCTTACGTTTTAAATACCGCTGCCACCAATTTCCTCTTCTTCTACGCACCTTATTACTCTTGTAAAGAACCAAAGTACCAAGTTGCCCTCTCCCATCAACATTTCTGCATTTGGATTTTATGTTATAAGGTCCATCAAGTACAGTAGTAGGGGAGGGTATTTTGGTATTTTCCAAGTAAAATCTAGGAGGAGGCTCTAAGCATTTGGGCTCATTGAAAATGGAATTTGGTAAAGTTATTAGGTCAGTGCAGGGCTTAGGTTTGCCTGGTTTTTCTTCCCATTTAAAAGGAACAGAAGCTAAAGTGTGAAGTGGTGGTGTAAGTATGCCTGAATGTTGAGGTGATTTCATGGCAAAAAGAGGAAATTTTGGTGCGGAACTAATTGGCTTTGCTGCCATGGGTTTATTAATTAGTTTGAAGATGGAGAAGAGAACTGAAAATGTTTACTTGGAAAAAGAGGAAAATGAAAGGACAATGCTTTTTATGTCTTGATGGTTTGTTCACAGGAAAAAAGCAGACACATCACATTTACATCAATTTAGGTACTTAATACAGAGATAACAGTGGAGTGTGGAGGCAACCACTAAGACATTGCTATTGCATGTGGTCACGAGAGTGGTTGATTTTTGGGATGCGATTGTTAAGACTGGTTAGACTCATGTATGTATTAGTAATATAGGGATTAATTATATAGGAATTAGTTATGTAGTGTTTAGTTATGCAAGGATTAATTATATAGTAATTAGTTATGTAAAAATTAATCATGCGGGAACTAGTTATATGATAGTTATGTAAGGATTAGTAACATACAAATGTAATGTGAGATGGAGTTGCATCAGGGGTCAGCACTTAGCCGTTTTTATTTTTCTTGGCAATGGATGCATTGACGCGGCACATTCAAGGGGAGGTGCTTTGGTGCATGTTATTTGCAGATGACATAGTTCTGATTGATGAGACGCGGGCTGTTGTTAACGAGAGGCTGGAGGTCTGGAGACATACCCTTGAGTCTAAAGGTTTCAAGTTGAACATGACCAAGACCGAATACTTGGAGTGCAAGTTCAGCGGTGTTACCCAGGAAGCGGATGGAGATGTGAGGCTTGATATGCAAGTCATTCCCGGGAGAGAGAGTTTCAGGTACCTTGGGTTTATAATTCAGAATGATGGGGAGATTGATGAGAATGTTACACATCGTATCAGAGTAGGGTGGATGAAATGAAGGCTCGCTTCCGATATCTTGTGCGATAAGAATGTGCCTTTGAGACTTAAGATAAGTTCTACAAGGTAGTGGTTAAACCGATTATGCTCTATTAAAATTTGACTAAATTTGAATTTGAGCCTAGAAGGTCCATTGGGGGTAAATCACTCCCAAACAATGGTGATTGCATATCCAAGACTTACTTCAAGATTTCTAATTTCTAATTAAAAATAAAAGGGCGCTTACCTTTTCATCACTATCTATATTGGTATTCGCTTTTTATTTAATTTCTTGTTTGTTTGATAAAAGAAAAAATGTTCAAATTTATCCCTGTACTATTAAAAATAGTTTACATTTACCTTATGTTATACTTTCCGTCTAAATTTATCCTTATTGTCAGCAAACTAATCAAAAATACCCCTTATTTCTAACGGAGATCCACCATAGCAAATTAAATCCCACATGGTCTGACATTTTGGGTGAGGTGGACAACATGTGGCATGCCACCTCACCACTCCAATCATATTGCCACTTCACCCTACCCATCCAAAATATGATTGGTGAGGTGGCATGCCACATGGCGTCCACCTCACCCAAAATGTCAGACCATGTGGGATTTAATTTGTCACCGTGGATCGCTGTTAGAAATAGCGATAATTTTGATTACTTTACTGGTAGTAGAAATAAATTTAAACGAAAAGTATAACGAAAAATAAATATAAACTATTTTTAATGGTATTGAGATATATTTGGCCTTTTTCTTTAATAGAAATATGCAAAGTTGTTTTGGGTACTGGATTGCCTCGGATTCTATAGCATAATGTACAATGTCAGCTCTTTTCAGAGTTGGATTGGACATGTTAGCTTGGGATTTTTGTACCTACTCAAACAAAGTGATAGAGCGTTTTCAGGCCACCTACCATACGTCAACAACTTTTTCCATTTTTTGTACAGATTATAGTCACAGTCACTGCGGTGATTTGTCTCTTTGCCTCTGTTTTATTTAGAAAATGGCTAATCAATTCTATATTCTGCTATATTAATGCTAATCAAATCAAGCTTTTAAGATTTTAGAGTAAACTATCTAATTTGTCATTATTATGTAATCCTCCTTTCTTGTCACTACTAAAAAAAACTAACAAAAAGCATTTAGAAAAATCGACCGAAATCGGTCGAAATCCTGCAAAAACCGACCGATTTTTGACCGTTTTTAATTGGTCGATAAAATAATGGTCGCAAACGGGGAGCGACCGAATTCAGTCGCTATTTTCAGACCGAAGTCAGTCGGTAACTGTCAACGCAGTTTGACCAAGTTGTCTGACACAAATTAATTTTACCGATCGAATACGGTCGATATTGTTAAAAATATTTTTTAATTATTTTTAAATTAGCGACCGAATTCAGTCGAAAATTTAATTATTCATTTTTTAAAAATTTATTCAATTCCGACCGAAATCGGTCGGTATTGTTAAAATATATAATTATTCATTTTTATTTAAATTTTTTAATTCCGACCGAAATCAGTCGGTATAATTTAAATAATTAAAATTTAAAATAAAAAATTCTGACCGAAGTCAGTCGATTTTTTGGGTAATTGTTTGGCAGAAAACAACTGTTTTATAGCTGCACCACCTGCCAACAACCAATCACCTATAATGGCAGCATTACATTGCTGCCATTCAACCAATAACAACAATAACAACAACAATAACAACAGTAACAACAACAAGAACAACAATAACAACTATCAAAATTATATTAACAAAACATTATCACCATCTCCATCTCCATCTCCACTAAACTATATTAACAAAATATCATACCCAACAATAAAACGTTTCACAAGTTAAAAGTTCAAACATCATTCAATGAATGTTTTGTACTACATCATCTTCATCTCCACTACTATAGCATTCATCGTCGGCATGGTTCGAAGGATTAGCATCTGGGGAAGGCTCACAAGATCGGGGAATCGGAAAAGCACCACTAGCAAGAAGATTGACTAGCTGACCTTGCATCCGAAATCGGGAAAGCACCTCCAATCCAAAACGGTTCAAGTGACATTGCATGCCAAATAAATTCCTTAACCCCTTCTATAAATTTCTCCCTCAAAAATCGATGATTAGGATAATTCCTATTATACATCCAACTACCATATTCCATCTACATAAAGAACAAATAAGTTACATGTTATATTAATCATAATTCAAATTAATTTATAGAATTAAGTTACATAATAAACTTTAGTTACAACGTACAACATTTAAATAATTTGAGTACATATTAATTTGAATACAATATTGTTCTAACCCTACCATTAAACATAATTAGACTCGCTAGAATATTTAATTAGTTAACCCATTCAATTAGAATAACTCACTTGCTATTAATCATAATTAATAAAAACTAAATCATAATTTAATATACCCTAAATCATAGTTTAATAAGCCCTAAATCATGAGCAATAAAATTTAAAAAAATTAAAATTAGCTAATTAAGCAAGTATCTTACATGATATCATAAACAAAATCAATTAGAGCAAACCTTAAATCTAAAGAATTATAATCAATTGAAATAATCCCAAAATTCTAAATTATAAACCCTAATTTATAATATTTAATTAGTTAACCCATTCAATTATATTAACTCACTTACTATTAATCATAATTAATAAACCCTAAATCATAATTTAATATATCCTAAATCATAGTTTAATAAGCCCTAAATCATGAGCAATAAAAATAAAAAAAAATAAAAATTAGCTAACTAAATAAGTACCTTACATGATATCATAAAAAAATCAATTAGAGTAAACCTTAAATCTAAAGAATTATAATCAATTGAAATAATCCAAAAATCCCAAATTGTAAACTCTAGTTTATAACATTTAATTAGTTAGCCCATTCAATTAGACTAACTCACTTACTATTAATCATAATTAATAAACTCTAAATCATAATTTAATATGCCCTAAATCATAGTTTAATAAGCCTTAAATCATGAGCAATAAAAATAAAAAAAATAAAAATTAGCTAATTAAGCAAGTACCTTACATGATATCATAAACAAAATCAATTAGAGTAAACCATAAATCTAAAGAATTATAATCAATTGAAATAATCCCAAAATCCCAAATTGTAAACCCTAGTTTATACAATTGAAAGAATTTAAATAACTAAAATTAACAAATATAGATAACTAACCTTCAAAGAGAGGAGAAGAGTATGATTTTGGAGCAGTGGTAGGGCGGCAAAGGTGGGACCAATGGAGAATGGGGAGACGGAGTTTGGGGGGAGGGGGGGTTGATTTTGGGTGAGAAGGGAGTGATGAGTTGATTTAGGTGGGATTTGGGAAGGGTTGGCGGATGTAGAAGAAAGAATGAGAGAAAGAGAAAAGAGAAAAATGGAAGAGAAACCCGTTTCTCGCAGCCTAATTAAAAGTTTTCCGACCGACTTCGGTCAGTATATTTAAGTGGAGTTTTGACCATTTGACCTCACATTTTCGACCGAATTCGGTTGATATTTCAATTTTAAATTTTTTAAAATATTAATTTAATGAAGATACTGACCGAAGTCGGTCGGTTTTAGTCAATTTATATAAATAGCTTTTAAATAAATAATATTTAATA